CGGAACGTCCAATTGGAAAAAATTGAGGTCAGTGTAATTAAGTAAGACGCACACACCGTGAATCCGTTTTCGCAGCATGCCTTGAGGAAGGAACAGCGAGAAGTCAGGATATCCTTGTCGCATTGCCAGGCCCACCGGCCACATCGAATGATGATATCTCCGCTATTATTTGTGTCGAGGATCCTGGTTTCAGCGACGGGAGTTAACATCCAGGGAGCCAATATTCAGCAAATAAAAGGAAACAAAAACAGAACACTTCCAAACGGTGCAGAAGAAGGCAATAAACACACCCTCGCGCTTGACATACGTCTGATAGGCTATCATCGCCTTCGCTCTCAATCAGCTTTGGCATCTTGCTCTTCCGCATAGGCTCCCCCTGCCTGTGTGCCTCATCATCATCATCGTGGTCTTCAGCTTCTTCCAGTTCAGTACGTGCCCTTTTCAAAACCATGGCCCGAGAGACAAGGACGCTTCCGGCTTCATGTCCGGCAATTCAAGTTACTAACAAGAAAGCTCTGCCTGCGAGGAATGTGTACGCGGATGTCGGGAACAGGGGCTGCTCGTAGGGACGAGGAGATGAGGCGGTCAGGAGTGAGTGGTTGAGTCGAAGCTAGCGAGCTAGCCATGTTAGTATATAGCCGGTTCAAAACTCAGGGGGTTGGTTGGGCTTGTTGCTATAAATACGGGCACGGGCGAGTAGAGAGCGCTCCAAGGGGGGTTGTTTGATCCGCCGTACAGGTATCCCCGTCACGAGTCATGTTCGAACACGATCGTGATGCCTTTAGCTCCGCCACAAGCATGTAGTTTATGTGCTCGGGCTGGCGCCCTGCTGCTTAGGGAACCTCCCTTTCCCCCAATGACTAATACTCTTTCACAGGGCTCACTGCTGTTTAAGAGGCCCGTGGCTCCGTCACTTGCGAACCAGCAGGCAACTAAAAAACAGGCGCCAACCAACAATAAGACGCTACATACAGCCTCAAAGTAAACCTGCTACGAAATTACTTGTCAGTCAACATCCTATCTTTCCAAAGATTCACAGAAGTCGTATTGACGGCAGATTGCTTTATGTTAAACATCACACTCAACTCTCGGATCTAGTTTTCCGAGCTCCAGGCATTGTTGAGCCGTTGAACACCTCCGCTACCTTTCGGGAGAGTAGATCAACCGGCAAGGCTTTATTTCACCCTTAACTGCCTAGCAACCAAAGATGGCGGCCACTCCACGGTCAAGCTATAATACGTTTCCAGCAAGTGGTGGTGCTTCAAGACCACCTCGACTTCCTCAATCACCGCCTCCGCTGAGCACTCCCAGGGTTGTCTCTTGCCAGACACGACCAATTACTATTACCACCAGGACAACAAGTCGACCAGTGTCAGCGCCAGTGAGCCCATTGACGACCGAGCTACCCTCAACAGCTGGGACTGAGCCTTTGACAACGCCGCGGCAAAACCCAGCGAGACAGCCGCCTGCTGCTTGTGCCCGCTCAGCTTCAGCTCCACAGAGGCCACCGCTTCGGCAGACCACAATTGAACCTCTAAATATTCAGGCAGTGGGTCCAAAACCGAATGTACCTCCCCCTCCAGCGCTACTTAAACACCGTCTTCGCAGATTCATCTCACAATGGAACGACTGGTGGATTCTTGAGATTGCGGCTGGCGTGTTGAGCATTGTGTGCTTGATAACTATCATCATCCTTCTTGACCATTTTGACGGTAAACCTTTAAGCAGATGGCATTCGAGGATCACACCTAATGCAATGGTTTCTGTCCTGGCCACTGTCTCCAAATCCTCGGTGCTCTTGCCTGTAGCAGAGTGCATATCACAACTCACCTGGCTGCAGTTCCAAGGGCCACGCTCCTTGCAGCTGATACAGGAGATTGACGAAGCAAGTCGTGGTGCTCTAGGATCATTTCAAATACTGTTCTCTACCGAAGCTATTGCAGCATGGTTTGGCGCAACTATTACCCTGGTGGCTCTTGCATTTGAGCCTTTCGTGCAGCAAGTATTATTGTTGCAGACTCGCCAAGTTCTCCTCAACGCCACCAACACTCAGGTGCCGGTTTCGTCTACATTCAATACTGGCAAGACGTTTCCTGCGTCATTTCCTGTAAACTACTACCCCCTTGGGGATGAAGCACATGCTCTTGACTCCTCTATTCGAGCTGCTGGTTTTAACGGAATCTACAACGGCGCCATCGAACCGCCATATGATTGTGGGTCGTCAAGCTGTCACTTCGGAAGCTTCGCTTCGCTGGGGATATGCTCATCATGCACGAATGTTTCGGATAGTCTGAGAGACAATTGCACAACTACAATTGGTGGTAGGTGTGAGAGTTGGGAATACACAACCCCTGCAAACATCAGCATACGTGCCCGGTATGATTCTGGCCAGTTTACCAGGAACATCTTCGCTACACTCTTCAATAGCTCTGCGACTAAATGGAATGAGCTTAGCATGCCATCTCTGGCACAGTTCTCCACCATAAAGTTTAACCTGACCACCGATTCATCGGGCCTTTACACTCTCGTGCCCATCCTCGCGTACGATTGCTCTCTTCGCCTATGCATCAAGACATGGGCCGGTGCCACATTCGAAAACTCCAGCTTCACAATGGAACCACCTGAAGAAATTAATTTTCAGAAAGTGATGGCTTCCGGTCCATTCTCCATCCTCGAGCTCGATCCAACTGTCAACGCTACAAGATTTGGCACGTATAAGATCAACACTTACGACTGGCAGATGATGGCCTCATTCCTGGCGGCGACCTTCTCGTACCAGGGTAGCGATGTCCTCTCAGACACGGATAACCAAGGCGTGCCGATCATGCTATACTATGCCCGCGACCTTCCGGCCATGATACAGAATCTCGCCAACAGTCTGACGAATATGATTCGCACATCGCCGGACAGCACTCTTGTCGCAGGCGATGCCTTCCGGAACGAGGTGTTCATCAAGATTCACTGGCCGTGGATATCGCTGCCTGTGATTGTGGTCTTCTCCTCAAACTTTCTATTGGTGATCATGATTGTCCAGAGTCACAGGAAACGGGCCCCGATCTGGAAGAGCTCCGTGCTGGCGCTTCTATTTCACGGATTGAAGCCGGGTACGATCAATACTGTAGATGAGCATATAAGCTCGTTGTGGGACATGGAGCTCTTGGCTGAACGGAAGAAGGTGAGGTTTGATGGTTCAACCCCCGAAGAACTAATCTTTGTTCCCTCTTGAGAAACGTGATGAGACATCATTATTAGAGTGTTCGGGAGAGAAAAAAGAATGTCGTTGCCTTGAGATATACTTTAGTTCTTTGTTTTAGCTATATCTATTATGCAGAAGTAACTTGTCTTCTAGAGCCCGGATCTTCTTAGTCCTCTTTGTTTGTACCTGTCTTTCCCCTCTGGCTTAGATTTTCTTCACTTCGGCTCACCAGCTGCAAAACAAGAGACATACTCGAGCCAAAAACAATGTGATTCCCCCCGCTGAAATTCTGGAAGCGCTTTCCATTCACGTCCCATTACAGAACTAACTGCTTCCCTCTGGACCATTGTGCCTTGGGTTCATTTTGTCGTGTACGTACTCGATCGTTCTCATCACTAACAGAATTAGAGGTCTGACTGCCGCAGCTCCTCGAAGACTCGATTTCTATAGGAACCATGTCGGCAGCGTCGCCAGAAGTCAAGTCCTAAAGAGTCGATGTATTTATATAGGTGTCACGGAGGGCGATGGATAGGTACATCAGGTATGAAGAAACCCTCCTAGCGTACTGGTCAGGGAATGCTCGGTGATACAGAGCTAATGGCTCATTCAAAGCTCTGGTTAAAGCGGCATTCACTCATCCTCTAGGAACAACGCGTAAACGGCAATTGGATTTCCCATCTCGCGACTGAACGGGGAAGTTACACCAGGACCCATATAGAGTACTGCTATATGAATAATTGGCAGTTAAAATCAGCACGGTTTAGTTAGGTAGTCGGTCAGAGAGTAGTCGGTAGGATACTCCGTAGTGGGCCACCTACTCATCTCATAATACCTTCCTAGTCAGCAAGGTCCTCGCAGTCAAGTTCGTCAGTGCCGCGATCGGCCACCAAGTCGAAGAATGCCTCAAACTCGTCCTCCACCTCCTCCACCTCCTTCCTCTTCATGAAACGAAGCCGTTCTGGCAACATAAGCAGTCGGTCAGATATCCGGTCAGTCGAGCGAACGATCAATTGACAAATAATTTCTCGAGCGCAGTTCGGTGACTTCGCATGAAGGCCTTGCCTGGGCCAGGGGCGTAAAACACGGATTGTGTGCGTTGTGATGATTAGTTATCAAGTTAAAGATACGAGGCGACGACGCGCTATGACACGACCTAATGAATTGGCCAGAGCTTCAAACTGCCTACGGACCTAACTCTGTCGATAACGGGTCGACTAGGTAGTTTATATGGTGTACTCCGTTTACAATTGGTGGCGAAGGGAAAGCCAAGAGATGTTTTACATGAACTCTACCCCCCTTTCTATATGAGGCTGAACTTATCCGTCTCAACGTCCGTCCGCCTTGCGTCGTGCTTTTTCCGTTTTCACAAGTGAGAGAAGTCGAAAGCCCCTATATCTCACTGGCGCAGCCACCCTGGATCAATGACCACTTGATGAGTGTATTTGCTGCGGGAGCACTCCTACCCCTTAGGATTCTTCAACGGCGACGAGCTGTTGCGCGGTCATCTTCGAAGATTTGAATTGAGGACTGCATGGACGTCAGCCCTGCTCGTGGACCATCCATCCGGTGAAATAATTCATATCGGAACTGGTAAATCTACTGGACGCCTAAAGGACGACATAAGCTTTGCGTGACTTAATTTGCCGTGGTCGCATAGACCAGGGAAATCTCCCCGTGGGCTGACTCTGACTGCTCATTTGTATGGTTGGCGTCTGAAGAGGTTTGCTGACTGATGCCATATCATATCGAAGTTGCTAACGGACTGGATGCGAGGGTGGCCTGCGCTGAGCCTTTTTGGCTGTACATGACCTCGTACGGAGTGTTCAAAGGTGTATATAGTTACGGCTCTGTCAGTCACCCGCTTGGCTTTGTCACCCTTCGAACGCAAAGTGCCCCCTACTTAAGCAATAAGCAACATCGCTTCTTCGAAAGTGCACTCATGGGTTCTATAAAGCCACCCATATCGCTTCGCGTTTTCGTTGTGGGCGGCGGCATCTGCGGCCTCTCCGCTGCCATCGCTCTTCGCCGGGCAGGTCACCATGTGACGGTGTATGAGAAATACTCTGCCGACGCAGATGCTGGGGCCGAGACTGTCGTGGGCACAAATGCCATCAAGGTTCTCAAGCTATAGGGCCTCGATATGGAAGGCGCCGAGGTTGCTGAAATACAAAGCCGGCTATATCCTAGAGGGCTAAACACTCAAGGTGTTGGACTTTGTCTATGGAGAGGGAAGCACAGTAAATGACGAGAAGGGCAATGGCGAGTCAAGTTATATGGCCACAAAGTCAGACTTGAGAGCAATGTTGAGAAGGGAGGTTCGAGAGACACGCACAACAAGGCACCATTGAAGTTCGATACACGATGGAAGTCGTGGATTATGACCCAGAGTTGCCAGCGATCAAGTTTTCCGATGGGAGCTGGGAAGCGGTCGACAGGGTAGTAGCGTATGATAGCGTCAAGAGCAAAGCTGCAAGAATTGTCAGCGGAGGAGAAAAACCCCCAAAGGCAACCGGGACGTCGGCTTTTAGGATGATGATTCCGGATGAAAAGATGGCCGGTGTCAGCGAGAGGTTCAAAGAGAACAATCTAATCCGCGAGAAGTTCAACAAGGACAACAGTGCAGTTTGGTTTATCCGTGGAGGGGATAGGCGACTTGTCGTGTGGTGGAGATGTCGGCTTTGGCAAGATTCAAGCGTTCGACATGCTCATGCCGGACAATGAAAAAATGCCAGCAGCGAAGAGTGGACAGCCAGATGCGACAAGCAGGTGCTTCTCGATGAGTTCGGGCACTGGCATCCATTGTTCCAAGAGATTTTCAAGGCCGCAGACGATGATCCATTACTGTGGAAGGGGTGTTCAAGGGCGCCTCGGGACACTCTCCACAAAGGCAAGCTGTGCATGCTCGGGGACGCATTGCATCCGATGCCTCCTTTCCGAGCTCAAGGAGGCAGCCAGTCCATCGAGGATGCCGGGGCGCTTGAGATGATCGCCACCAACCTGGTCGACAGGTCAGAGCTGCCGAAACGGCTGGAGATGTTGGATAGACTGAGAGTCCCGAGGTACTCATGTGCCCAGATGATCTCATCCGTCCGTCAGGACGAACTGAACATGGAAGAACGCTATATTGAGGTGCTCAACCAATGCCGAAAATGGTTTGAGGGAGAGGACCAATCTCACCGTAAGGCGGTTTCTCTGATATCCAAAGAAATAATCGGCCCACGAACAGACACAGTGAGACACAGGGCGGCTTTCCAACAGTGGCTACACTCATATGATGTCGGAGACGCTGCAGGCAGAGCTGTCAGCAAAGAGACGTAGCGATGGTAACAAGATAGAGGGTGCAAAGGGTGGAATGGTGGATGGCGTTGGCAGAGGATCTTGACCCTTTTCGGCGCGCCAAGCGCCCGTAATTTTCTGTCTTTTGAAAACTAGACAAACGAGAATGTGAACCGCGAAATCAGAGAATATCTCATAGAAATATAACGTGCTCATGATTCCCTTTCGCCACAGCCAAAAGGTGTCTCCACATCACTTAGAGTATTGCGGCCATGTCAGATGATAAAGACGATCGCCCGGCAAAGCAACGACGAATTCATGGAATGCCACTGCTCGACCAAACGAGTCAGATTGACGACGATGAGGATTCTTCCAGCTCATCCTCATCGTCTTCCATCACCCTGCCGAGAGCACGGCTTTCTCATCGACTACTGAATAATACCGACACATTGCATACAGAAAGCTCTTCTAGCGACGAAAGCACAGAGGAGGCGGAAGAGAAGACGTCGTCGTCTTCGGATTCTGAGGATTCGGGCAGTGAGGAGACGTCAGAGGAGGAGGAGGAGGAGGAAGAAGAAGAAGAAGAAGAGGGAGGGGAAGACCTCGAGGACCATGTCTCCCCGAGAGGCGCAGGAATCCCACGTTTCACCGCGCTGCCCGCCCGAGGGTCGTCGGATCTCAAGTCTCGTTTGCAGAATTTCTTGCCACAGCTACAACGAGCAAATGCAGAGCTCGAGGACTCCGGCCAAGTCTTTGACAGAAGGATTGACCATGTTCTAGACGACGCCGAGCATTATATCGAGATGGAGGTGGGCCTCGGTGTGTTGACTGCACAGAAGGACGACACTACCCGTATAAAGCTGCCGTATGCGCCGTCTAGCGTGGAAGAGGATCGCGGGGACGAAGATGAAGAGGTCATCGATGCACATGGGGGGTTGGAGGACCGCGCCTTGTCTCGGGTGGTCGGCACGGAGGGAAGAAAGGGAACAAAGCGGAAAATCGAGGAGCTGGGATAATTAACGGGGATGGAGTTTTGTATGGCGTCTGGGCATGGAGTATGTAGTAGAGCTATCTCGCACTGCTACGGAGTCCATGGTACGAAGTGGTACGAGGTACGAGGTATATGAGGTCAAATGAGGTATCAAGGTGGATAGCTGGTGTGTAAAGGATATTGCTGATAAGCGATAAGGAGCGGGGGGGCAACCGCTGTCTAGGCGCGGCAACGTCATTGTTTGGATCTAACCTGAAACGGACACCGAGGCAACGAAGTTTTGGCACTAGCGCTCAACCCACGGCAGCAAAGCTAGCGCCTCGTTAGCTGCTAGATGGCCTCACCTTTATTTCATGTATGTTTCCCTCCACAGCAGATATCGCGCTGCCATCCAAGAGTGTATCCATCTTCTCAACAGAGCTTCGACTATGGTGCCGCCGTCACGCACAATCACCCATGACGCACGATCAAAGACCCCGACACACTCGACCGCCTCGAGTCCCTCTCTCAGGTCCAAGACGCCTGTGAGCGTCTCCGCGACGCCCACCAACAGCAGCATGGGTCCTGGCGGGAATGTCAAAGTCGTCGTCAGAGTCAGGGCGTTTCTTCCCCGCGGTAGGGATACAGTGACCTCTCACTCACTCGAGGCTAATAATGTTGGGCAGAAATCGAGAGAGGCGCACAATGCTTAATTGAGATGAACCCTCGCACCCAGTCGACGAAGCTGCTAGTTCCCCCTTCGTCCGATCCCGCAAATGCCCGAGCACAGACAAGAAAGGTGCTGGAGGAGAAGCTGTTCACATTTGACAATTCATTCTGGTCCCACAACACAAGAGACCAGCATTATGCCACGCAGGAAGACGTCTACAACTGCTTGGGAGAGGAATTCCTAGACCACAATTTTGAAGGCTACCACACATGCATCTTCGCGTACGGGCAGACAGGCTCAGGCAAAAGTTACACCATGATGGGTACCCAAGAGCAGCCCGGCTTGATACCACGAACATGCGAAGACTTGTTCCAGCGCATCGAGTCCAACGAGAGCGCCAATATCAGCTACAGTGTCCGAGTGTCGTACTTCGAAGTCTACAACGAGCATGTGCGGGACTTATTCCAGCCCCGGACTGAACCTCCACAATATCTCAAAATCCGAGAATCTCCCACCGAAGGGCCATATGTCAAAGACCTGACCGAAATCCAAGTCAAGAATTACAATGAGATCCTGAAGTACATGCGGATGGGCGACAACTCCCGAACCACGGCTTCGACCAAGATGAATGACACGTCGTCCCGGTCTCATGCCGTCTTCACCATCATGCTGAAGCAAATCCATCATGATTACCGCACAGACGAGACAACGGAAAGATTGGCACGGATACGGCTGGTGGACTTGGCGGGATCTGAGCGTGCCAAAGCAACTGAAGCGACCGGGCAGCGACTTCGAGAAGGCGGGAACATCAACAAATCCTTGACTACGCTGGGGAGAGTGATTGCTGCGCTGGCAGACCCCAAGCACGCCCGAATCCACCATTCCAAACGGACAAATCGTGACATTGTGCCCTATCGTGATTCAATCCTGACCTGGCTGTTGAAGGATTCACTTGGAGGAAACTCGAAGACTGCCATGATTGCTTGTATAGCACCGTCAGACTACGATGAGACCCTGTCAACCCTCCGATATGCCGACCAGGCCAAACACATCCGCACAAAGGCTATTGTCAACCAGGATCATGTCTCGTCGGCAGAGAAAGACGCACAGATTAGTGAAATGCAAGAGACAATCCGAGCGCTGAGGTGGACGCTGAGCCAGCAGCAACAGAACGGTAGTGCCTCGGTGATGAAAGCCGTGCAAGAGTCCGCCGAAGCTCAATCTGAGAAAATTCGCGAATTCACCACCAAGTATGAAAACATGTTGCAGATTATGGAAGAGAAGTTGGCTATTTCAGAGTCCAAGGTGCGACAATTAGAGGAAGAAAAAGAAGCGTTGAGCATTCATCTGAAGCTTGTTCTTGACGAGCTCAAAAACCCCATCGTCATCAACAAAGAGGAAACTGAATCTGTCGACGAGAGGTCTAGGGCGCCAACGCCAGACATGATCTATGAAGACGACACGGCCTCTAGCGACGAGGTGGAGACGGAATCCGAGATCGACGATGAGGCTGCTGAGATGCAGGCAGAGATGGAAGCGCTGATCTCGGACTTGGGACTGTTCAAGAAGAAAATTGCGGCAGACCACGAGATGTTTGGCATCAGCCTTGCGGCATGACTCGAGACAAGAGTTGGACGAATGTGAACGTTTTGCCATGTTAGCGAGGGGTTGGGTCTTCGCGGTCTATGGAGTCGTTAGCTACAAGAAGTTTGGTCTGCTTGGTATCAGGGAATGCCGAGACTGGGAAACTCGTATACAGAGTCAGCCAGAGCCTTTCGGGCAGAATGTGAAGTAGGTGCACGCACCACTTGTGGCTCCTCATGACAGGCACCTCGTCTCATTCCTTCCAATTGTTTCTCGGTTGTACCATCGTCCATCTTGCCCCAACCTTTTATATTGACTGGCCCAAACAGACTGGACAGATTGCGCTCGCTGCGATAGGTGTTCCGGAAACAGGAGCGACGGCGACCAACAGAAGCACACTATCAATAATTCTCGTTCCGTTTCTTTTCACTTCTATTAGAAGCGCCAACTTCGTCCTGTGCGATCCCTGCCGGGTTTGGTGTCCCACGTCTAGTTCACCGGGTGTTCACTGTTAGGCGTCTGCAATCTAGGCTACCTCTACCCGTAGCCTCTCCAGGACCGTCCTCGAGTATTGATCCTAATATTTATGATATCGGCCACTCCGTTGCTCGGTTTACGACAGGGAGCCGGTGGTACTGGATATTCACCAGCGTCACCCGCTACTGTCTGCGCAGGGGTTGAGTCTTTGAGATGTTTGGCGATATGTTTTGATATCGATCGACTCAGCCTGTGCCGGGATGCTTGGTCCGGCCACCAACACCAGAATCGAAACAGTGGAGGCGGTGTCGCCCTGTGGGTCGAGATTTATTGATGTATCTTCCTCGACCATATTCTACAGGGTTGAGTCTAGTAGTCATCTGCATGCCCGAATCAATCTAGATCGTTGTGTAACTTCTCGGCGAAGCTCGCTACTTCTCTCAAGTTCGACACCCACCAGACGACGCGCTTACTGCTTTTTACCCATTGGCCCCCGCCTCGACCAGCGACTCCCTTTAGATCCCTAGTCGATGTGTGTAGATCAAGCTTCAGCACCTCAACGCCCACCCGCTCCAGACTCTCCTTCAACGCGGCCTGCCCGCTGCCCATCGGCTCATCACGCACACAGATGCCCACATCAGCAGCCAGGAGGCAATCAAAGTCTGTCGCCGAGTCGCCCACGTAGAAAACAGGACCATCTTCTTCGTCTTCTTTACCTCGCAGGTTTTGGAACGCGGCGAGTTTATCGGCGCTGGTTCGGATGCTAACGGGCTCTGAGACGTCGCCCGGTGTTTCGCACGGGAGGCGGTTGGAGAGAATCGGGAGGGAGTCTGCTGCGCTTTTCATGGCCGATGGAACGTCCCCAAGAGCTGCAGATAGACATGCTCTTATGAAGGCGGCGCTCCAATTCACGCTGATGATGGAAACGAGAGACGAATGGTGATCTCCAACTTCATCCCCTGGATGGTGATGCGCGAGTGAGAGAACTTCATCCCACCCATCTCGGAGTTGGATCTCATTCCGCCGTACCGAATCCTCTGCTCCCACGCGGATATCTTGTTCAGTGACATCCGCGAAGATCCCCGCGTCTCGCACCCTGGTTACACTTCGCATTTCGACTTCTCTCAAACTCGCCAGCCACGCGCTCTCCTGGGTAATCTCCCCGCGGTCCTTCTTCACCGGGCGATACGCGGCCTCGTGCTCAGCGTAGTCCGACAGGTAAGCCTGGACTATTTGGTCCCATGGCACCAGATCACGATGCCGATTGCGCCTATAGCCGATCGCGGCGACATTGTGCAGCGTGTCACGCTCGGTGAGTGTGCCGTCCCAGTCAAGGACTACGCGGACACGATTCATTTCTCGTCTTGTAGGCATGGAAAATGCGGATAGGTGTGGAATTGTAGGAGGAAAGAGTTTGCGCATTATCCTTGTGTTGATAGAGGATCGAGGAAAGGTTCAGGTTCTACCAAGTATGTGATGTATGCTTGCCGCTTTAAACATGTACGAGGTACCCGGGAACCTTTTCTGAAACTTCTCCACTTCAGCCTCGTGCGATCTTCCCCTGAGCCCACTCCCTGACGAACTGTGCGGAGCAATCCTTGCAAACTTCCAAACACTCGCTCTTGGAAACCGCAGAATCCTTGGGCCTGTGTACTCACCTTCTCCTCTCGGGCGGTCCTGATGAAACAAAAGTCCGCTTGGTAGGTACAACGAGTGAAGAGGTAGATTCAGTCTGCTGGAGACTGGGCATCTCCGAGAGGGTCCTCGATGAGCTACAATTACTGGTCTTGACGCCTGCCTGTCCTTGCCATCAAGAAAGGCGAAGAGCCATATACTCTTCTTGAACCCGTGAGAGCCACACTAGATTACTCAAGAGCATGTTGAGGAGTTGACTTGTGGCTGCTCAAGAATTTGATCTATTCTGACCTCTTAATAATTGGCCTCTTGACCTGGATCGTCTTCTGAATCAGCAGCTCAGGCCCCTGAGACTTTTATTTAACGTCTGGCGGTGCATCTTCGCAAGAGCAACGGCTTTGCGCTAAAGCGTCCACGTCTTGAAGTATCAGCCGTCGATGTCGACTGGATATATGTTGGTGAGGCAGAAAAGCATGTGCAAGCATCCCCTTTGCTGATGGGGCAGACATTGTAGCCAAGGCACAGAAATTTAGCAAGGAGTTTGGAACCCAGATCACGTCGCGATAGGTGAGGCTTCGAATATTATGGATAAGCCCTTTGGCGCGAAATTGGTTGGAAGATGGTTGTTGGTCAATGGCATCGGCCAGTGGTATAGAGCCTTATCCCTCCTTTGCTCGCCAAGAGATACGTTGAAGATACCCTAAAACGAGCTGAGAAATTGGAAATGAAATGTCCACATCTCACCATTGGTGTTGAAAAGGTGCCCTGAACCTTGCGTAACAGACATGCGCCAAAATGGGGCACCCCACACTTTCCTAAAATGTGCGTATGCAGATTCAACATAATTATGTTTCTCGACTAATGCAACCGCCGTACTCCAACAGTTGCTACTGACCTAGGATTCTTTTTTTTAAAGGCTATTGAAAACTGCGAAACAGTCGCATGGACAATATAAATAGGCTGAATCTCTTCCATATCGGACCAAGATTGCGGTCATCGACTACGGCGTGTTTCCGGATGCCATTGGCAAGTGTGGCTGGAAAGGCCGCGGGCCGGACGAGTTGTTGAGCTGGATCCAAGAGAAGTTTGGGAAAAAGGTTTTTGACTTTCGAGACTTAGTCAGATGATACTTTGTCGTCTATAGCCCATCCCCTATCCACTAATATATAAGTTGATTAAATACTCATCTGCAAGGGGAGTGAGTGGCATCAAACTGAAAGTTAAGAGGTTAAGGGGAATATCACTAAGCTAAATCGGTATCCTTATACCAGTCTCGAGAAGCAAGGTCACAGTTAGAAAACCAGATCCGAGGGATGAACACTCCTGCTCGCCAGAATTGAGTAATTTAATCGCGGACGGTAGTCTTGTGTTCACTGCTCATATACAAACGGCATATATCTGCCTGGCATCCAATCAGATCTGTCACTGTACAGCCAGGCACATAAGTTTAAAGAACCATTCCTCTTCCGTGATGTACTCGGAACAGACGTCCTTGAAATTTTGCAGAGCGACCGGGTCGACGGCAGGCGTACCGCCGTCGTCTTCGCCACTACTGCTGTATGTGCTGGGCGCGCCAACTCCATGTGCACGGCCCAGATTGTCTTGCGTGATCTTTGTCCCGTTCACGATCCATCCGGTGTATTGTGGGAAGGCAGTTGCAGGTGGCGTCTGCGGACCCAACTCTCCCTGCCTGACCCCACCGCTAATGCTTGTCGGGTGCTTGGTGCTTCCCTCGACGCAGTAAGGCGAGGTAATGACGTCTCCCACGCGGTTGGAAAACGCAAGCTCTGCCACCCGGTTCCAAAGCACCGTGACGTCCTCGATCATCTCTGGAGTATACCAGACCCTGCAATCCGCTGCCTCGTAAGCGAAGTGCAGGGGAGTGTTGTGCACCTCTCCCATTCGATAGGCGTTGAACGAGTTCACCCGTAGACCATCGGTCCCAAAGCGATTTCGAGGCCCATAATCCCAGTGCTCGAATATCGGATCTCCAGATCCGGGATGGGCATCAGTCTGATTCAGATATGCGTCCACCATAGCTTCCAACCAATCACCGTTGAACACTCTGCTGCCTCTGACTCCGCCAATCGTTTGCATAGGACCTGTTTGTGGCCGTCCGCCAACAACGATGCTCATTACTCGGAACTTGTTTTTCAGATATTCGACAAAGATCGAGCACGCAGACGCACAGATCCTGTGGCAACGTATTAGCAATCATCGGCAATTGGGGAGTGGCTGATGAGACAAAACTACGTTTCATAAAGCGCAAGGGAGTGCTCTGCACAAATTCTTACCCGTCAGTCAAGATAATCATATTTTCGGGGCTGAATGGCCATTGTGCTCCAGGAGTTGCTTGCGTAATGTTCATCTCCGTATGGTCAACCAAAGAGTAATCGTTGTTTGTATAGTTTTCCTGGAAATAGGAGGTGAAATATCCCGGACCTTCGCGGTAGGGGCCATAGAAATGATTCACATTGTCAAAGTTCTTGGCTCCAGGCGACATAACAGCCTGGTAGGCAAATGGCGAGTACCACTCCTCGGCCTCGAGTTCTTCCTTGTCCAGTCCTGTGGTAGGATCCTTGTTTTCGGCAATCTGAGTCAGTTCGCTGTAGTACTGAATGACAGCTTGCTGAGCTCCTGAGGCCCTCATATTGGACTTGGTGTCGGGTGTCGTATCAGGAAATAGTTGTACCATCGTATCTAGGCACAATTCCACCGATCCTCCTCCATTCCCCTGCAAGTCGATTATAAGCTTCTTCTTGCCGTTCTCTGTTGCAGATGCCAGAATTTTTTGCAGGGCCTTCTGGAATTTTACATCTGAACTACCGTTGTCGCTGGGGGAAAAGCTGGAAATGACTATTACGGCAACATCACTTGGCACACCATCGCCCCAATACCCTTTGATGAAACCGCTGTCGTCAGAGAGCACGTCAGGCGCAGGTAATTGTCGCTTCATTCTCGGTTTAGCATATGCAGACGCTTCAGACTCATCGATGGAATCTGGAACTGCGAAAAACCGCTCGTACATTCCATACCCGTCGACAATTCCGGTGAGATTTCCCTCCCACTGAGCGTAGTTATTGAACGGTTTGGTTGAGCCGTTGTGAAATGTCAGGTTTGTGTAAGCTCCGGGATAAAACTCGGGACTCTCGAAAAGCAGTCCATAGGGATACATCAAGCCGTTATACAAGGCATCTGGGTCTTGTGATGTGCCGGTCAATGATTCGATCTGTATATATTCTTGAACATCAAAGCCATTGATCTTGGTAATTGGAGAAAACTCTGCTTCGGATCGTAACCATGGGCGATCATCATCATCTCGATAGTATCTGTCCTCTGTTTCGTACGTTAGCGCCCATGGTATGATTTTTGAGTGGGATATAAGCTCCTCTGGGAAGATGGAGCCGGGAAAAGTAACAGATTGCTGCCAGTATTGAGACTACGACCACAATCTCCCACTGGCAAGCTTACCAAAAAGATATACCAATGGGTTTTGTACTCCATCTTCAGACAAGGAGATCAGGGACGATACGGTCCGGTGAAAGGTCAGTGCGCCCAATATTGGGCCTTTTGTGGTAAAGTGGTCGTCTTTTCCCAGCAGTGCCATCGTATGCAGATCAATTTGCAAGTCGTACTCGCTTGAATATTCATTTTTTGCCACTTTCTGTTGAATTTGACTCAGTGTATCAATGATATCAACTGGTGGGAAAAGCCATCCGGAGGGGGGAAAAGCTAAATAGTCAAGAGTACTTTGGATCTCGAGATAGCCTCGAAGGCTATCAACCAAAGCTTGCGCATCTTCTTGTTTGACAGGTACTGAGCTTAGGCATTCGTACGCGAGTTCTGGGCTGAGTAGAAGCACGTCCCCTAATTTCGTCAGCGGAGAAGGCCGCAGTAATCTTGAGGATATACCACTGGAAAGATCGTATATATCTGCAATTTTCGCGCAAGGATGGACATATCCCACTTCTGATCGTACTACTGCCGCCAAAAAGTGTCCCACCCACAATAATCGAGTAGAGACCCACAACGGGAGGGCCATTACATGAGAACGAGCCAGAGATTGTCGCATATCAAGAGACGTCCCGTCTGCAGATCCTGTTTCTGTGAAAGATGTTTTCGAGCAGAAGGGTCACAAAAGTAATGGCAGGACATACGAGAAGGGGGAAAGAAAACGTAAAGCAAACGCTTGGGAGGAGGAAGGGGGGACTGTTGTTGCTTTTCAAGATGGACAGGCAAAAAGGAGGATGATCACGTATCTGGGCTGAAAGATGGGGCATCATCCCGTCTCTTGCTCAACTTTGAAGTTGAAACAATCCTGCGATTCACCAGCCAAGAAAGCCGCTCTGGGGCTAGCTCAGCCGCAAATTGGTAGGAATAATTCCACCTTCCATCGTGAACGAGCCACTGAAGAAAGTAATGTTCTGGCTGGCGTTGGGAGAAGAATCGCCAGTACATATCTGCGACGTCTGGTCTGAGCTTTTCCATGGTCTTGTTTATGGATGTTGTGCACTCAGTCTGACCATGGAACATTGAAGTTGGAAGGGGAAGAGCTGAAAATTGTTCGCATTCCGGCCCAGTAGGGCGGAAATCCGTCTCTTGGCAAGGAGCCAGCCAAGACATAGGCGGTGCGGTTTCTCCAGCAAATATAGAAAACAGATTCAGCTCGACTGGCCGTTGAATGTAATCTGGAGGCCAGGAATAGGTCGATTGGTTAGTCTATTGATGCAGGAAAAGCTATCTGGAGTGGCAGCGAGCAAGAACGAGGTATTTATCTGTCGAGCTATGTACCTCGTAGGTAAAGGGTCGTCACAATGCCAGGAGCAAACGAGTCTAGCCCAATTAGGCTAGGAGCCTGCCAACATGGGCCTCGTGTACCTGGAGGAATGAAGAACTGCATTTCCGCTCAATCGAACGATGCGCTACACGGACTCTGAGACTGAAAGTTGTTCTAAAAGAAAGACTGGGTATTGCCACATTTCCAACGACATGGCAAAATCATGGGGCCCGTCAGTTACGTTTAAGCAACCAACAGCGCAGCCAGAAATCCAACCAGGAGTCCAGCCTCTCCAATACTAAGCCTGATCGTTGGAGGAGCAGCAGATTTTGAGGTAGATGGGGAAGCCGGAGCCGATGATGTGGATGTCGATGTTGTTTGGGTTGAGGAAGTAGAAGATTGTGTTGCAGACGGGGTTGAGGACGCAGAGCTTCCACCACCTTCGATGGTGTCAAATGCTGGATCGTCTGCATATTGTGCAGAAACACCCGATGAATTGCTACATGCAGATGAGGGTGTGCCCATTCCTGAGACAAAGTTCACGTGCATGCACTAAGGGTTCGGAAAGATCAGTTGAGGCAGTTCCTTGTTTATTCCAGCGCGCACAATTCGCACTCTAGACGTATCAGGGGATGAACACATACCTGGTAATGCATGCCGTCCTCTGCATCCTGGATGATTTGGAGCAACCCGGGGGATCCTGCCCAAGAAGCCGGTATTGTGAGGGCAGGCTCGCAGAAACTGTTCAAACCGAATTCTTCGACGGTTGGGAGTAGGACAGTCCAGTTGGGTGCGGTCAGAGATGTGCCCAACAAGGCACGGTAAGCAAAATATGGTTGTGCATGAAGGGTTGTGAGGCCGACGGCGTCACCTTCGACGTGGAAATCTGTTATATTGTCGGAGCTGGATGGACTGAAGCCGCCGCAGGGCGATTGGTCTTCATTATTAATGTTGTTTCCAAGGGGTGGCGGTGTTAGAACAATGAAGTGAGAAGCACATATTGGCAGGGATATGAGGGCGAGGAGCGAGGTGACTTTGGGAATTCTCATAACTTCTTGCTGGCTGGCAGTTTTGGTTTAGACGTACGGTTTGGAGAAGAAAGGAAGAGAACACCAGAAGGCAAACAAAAAGGGCGGCCGCTGTCTCTCGCAGAAGACGTGATGTCGAAACACATGGCAGACTGCATTGGTAGCCGAATATCCGTGTTGCATGGCTCTTCTGACAGGGCTGGTGCTGAGAGGAAACTTGCTCACCTTCGGCCGACTTCCGGCTTGGTGCTAGCCTTGCGGACTAGCTTCATAGACGACCACAACAAAATGCTCTGTTGATAGGCTTAAGTCCATGTGGCTTGCAAAGAGTCAACGGACCGTCGACTCCTGCCACGTTCGACAAGCTTTTGCCTGAAGCATTAAATGAGCTTGAGCCAGATAAGCATCCCGATCATAAATGCCTCGCACCCGCCCTTATGGAATGCATGAAAGCAGTTTCCCTTTGACAAAAGTCGCCCTCAGCTGTAAACCGTTCGATTTAGTATCGACAAGATGCGGTCTTCAATGCTCTGTCTTGGGATCGCGCCCCTGATCTCGCTGCTGGTGTCTGCACACACCCAAATCTGGTATCCTCAGTGGCGCGCAGACTCTTTCGACCTACCGTTTTCGCAGAGGATATATCCCTGTATGTGAAGACTTTTTTCGTTAGAGCACGACTCAGGACTAACGCAGACCTCTTTGATTTCTAGGTGCCGGGATATCTGACAACTCAACAACACCTCGAACTGAGTGGCCTCTCACCGGAGGATCTCTCAACGTCACTCTCCATGATGCTGCCGCTTACATCTTCATCAACCTCGGCCTCGGGGCGAACTCGTCAGACTTTAACATCACCTTGTTCTCTGCGCCGCTCAATGAGACCGGGCCTGGAAATCTTTGCTTCCCCAAGCTGGCACTACCGACTGGTCTCCCCATTCAGGAGGGTACACAGGCGTCGATCCAATTTGCAACAGCCGGTCACAATGGTGAGGGCTTGTACAATGTATGCATAACATCTTATTCACCCAAGATGCCCCGGGCTCTTGCTGATTGTTCTTTAACACAGTGCGCCGACATTATCTTCACCAATAATGCCACTCTCTTGCTTTCGGATCAGTGTCACAACAGCTCAACCGTGAGCGTTACTACCCTTGGTTCTTGTTCATCCCTTTCGATGAATTCTAGCACTGAGTCGAGCTCCGCGACAGCCTCGAGCTCCTCCGCTGCGGAGACGTTCGTTCCCTCTGCATTGATGATACTTTTGGCGAGTCTGTTTGTTGCTGTGTGGTAGTAGTACACCACAAGCGCCAATAGGAGGGAATGGAGGCTGGAATGGCGGAAGTACGGCGGTCACACATGCAGAGAGAGCGAGAGCAAGGCTGAGGGAGAGGGAAGTAGACTCGGAACCTCAGGGGCCAAAATTTGACGCCAAGACGCTTATGCTTTGCGCTAAGTCTATATTGGTTAGCTGAAATTGTGTCCTCTTGGCCCGTTTTTCCCGACTCGCGAGTAAGAATCTTTCCCTGCATACCAGTAAATCCTCCATTCATGAGTCCGACATTCGAGATAACCATGGCGCAAATCGTTCCAACACCGCAATTAACGTCTGTCACGCTAAGAATAAGGCGATTCTCGTCCTATGCACCATAATCCTGCGGAATTTCCCGAGGACCACACAAATGAACACAGGAGCTGATGCCGAATTTTGACTTTGAGGGAACGAATTTGTCGAGCCCCTGCCGTTTCAGGTATCCCAGATTCTGAAGACAAACCTGCAGGCTTGAGTTGGTCCAGAATGCTATATTGCTTTGCAGGCGTTCACCAGCAACTATCTCTCCAGATTGGCCCTTGTGTCTCTCCATCATTACAGATAGAAATCAGAAAGATGAGTCCTAGGTTCAGCTAAGCCAGTCTACACTAGCTGTCATTTCCTTATCCCATTCTTCGCTTCTCCAAATCTGTCAATATATCGATATAACGCTCAACTTAATTGGTGAGCAAATGGAGCGCTCAAGATGCACGAAGCAGCTAGGAAGGCCCGTTTATATCGTTGCGACGGCGAGCGGGAGACGACCACGTCAAGATCACATTCAGGCTCAAAGAGGTCACCCACAAACCTAACAGAATGACCGATTAGGGGCTACGTTTGTGCGATGAATGGTTGTGCGATGAATTGCTGCAAGGAGAGCTACGGTACCGCATCAAGGCGGATCGCGTCAATCGAAGTTCGATCATGCCCTTCTGCTACATCGATATCTCTAAAGAAGCTAGAAATGAGGATGGCGCCGTTCATTCCTCTCTCCTTACCATGTCTTGTAGGTCTTGTTCTATCCTCCAGGATCTGACCTGTGGTTGTTGCTGGGCTCGCAACGAGGTGTACAGTCCTTCCGTCTTCGCCTTCCATTGTCCGCGGACTGCATATAATATATTACAGTCTCATCCGCTAGGCGTGTCATTTGTCCTTCTGGAATTCGAATGTCCGTGCCGATAAATGACAGACATTGCTGTCAAGATACTCTGCTAGCCTCCGCCTTGTGCGCTGATCCCGAGGTAGTTAACCGAGGCAGAGTGGGGGTGTGTCCTTTCTTTGAGGCCCCAACAAGCTCACACGACTTTGCGCGGAAGCTCCAAACAATTGTACTGTTGGGAACCTATTCGCAAACACTGAGTATCCTATCATCGCTTCCATGGTGAAGGCGGATTGCCGAATTTCATAGCACTGGGAGTACTCGTGACCCACGCCGTCAATGAGGCATCCGGCCTATCACAAGTCAATTCCGTAAGCCATTTTCGAGCCTCACCGAAACTCCTAGGATAACAACTTCATCCTCATCCCTCTGCCACTTTTTCCTGATCTTGTATAGTCAAACATGGGCAATTCAACGCAGACCAACCATTCAAAACCTCAGAGCTCTTCGGGCATACGGTTTATTTCGACCAAGCCTGTGAAGAGACGAGCCTCGCAGGCTTGCACTCAATGTCGACATCGAAAAGTCCGCTGTGACTTCATCTTCCGCCGTCCAGCATCCTGTACCAACTGTCGACTGGATGGAACGGTCTGTGAGGTTCCCAAGAGCAAACGTCGCAGGTAAATGTATCTCCCTGTGGATTGTTATCTGTGGCTTGACGTAGTCCTAGATCCAGTTATGTTGAGACATTCTGTTCAATTACGCCAGCTACCCTTCTTTCGCAGGAAGTGGGTGCAAGCACACCATGGCATGAGAATACGTCGCCTTCCGATGATCAGGGGAATGAATCTCAATGTGACCGCCTTGATAAAGGTTTGCTAGCCGCCGCCAGATTTCGCCGCACTCCCGCTCATTCATCCCACAGAATCAGTCCAGGAGGTTGTGGTGGAGGCTGAGGGGAATCTTGAACCAGCAGATGATTCCATCATGTGGACGATCATGTCCAATCAGTTCGATCCGCCATGTCAAAAGGACCAGCCATCTGAGAAAACATCAAAAATTATCCTACCGCATTATCTGCGCCCAATTCCGACGCATATCTCCAACGAAGACCTCGACTACCTTCAAAAGAAAGGAGCTTTTGATATCCCGGCTACCATTCAACGCAACGAGCTGCTTCGGTGTTACATCCAATATGTGCACCCTCTTTTACCCATCATTGATCTCCGCGACTTCCTACGTGCTATTGATAGAGACGACCCTAGCGACACCATCAGCTTGATGCTACTCCAAGCAGTCATGTTTGCGGGCACCACGTTTATTGACATGAATTATGTTACGGGCTACGAGAATCGCCGAGCTTACCAGAGAGCATATTTCCAAAAGGTCAAAATGCTCTACGACCTGGACTTTGAGGAGGATCGAGTCACAGTTGTACAGTGCGTTTTACTAATGACATACTGGTACGAGAGCCCTAATCATCCCAAAGACATATGGCACTGGGTTGGAATAGCGGTGGCCTTCGCGAGATCCGTCGGTCTCAACTGCATTCCCCAGGAAAGTTGCGGCACCGTCCAGGAGAAGCGGCTTTGGAAACGAATATGGTGGGGCTGCTATATGCGTGATCGGCTGGTCGCAGCTGGGATGCGGAGGACGATGAGAATCAAGGAGGAGGAATGCTGCGTCGAGGGATTGAACATCGAGGACTTCGAAGCATGCACCTCCCTGTCTGATTTCGAACACATGATTGGGTCCGCCTGCGCGACCGGCGATGGGCCAACTCACGCAAACCTGGTCCGGCTCTGCATAGCTTTGGTCGAGCTATGCAGAATCATTGCAGATATTCTGACATTACAGTACGCGACGCCATCGCAGAAGATCGGTGGAACTCACGAAGCCACTATGAAGCTGCTGCCCAAGTCGCCGTCCGCTGCAACCGAAGTAGGAAGGCGAGATCGAGACCTCGAAACGTGGTATGAAGGATTGCCCGCGGAAGTTCGCTATTCGTTTTCCGAGACGCAACATGACTCGAGTCCTGTCAGCGATCGTGTTGTGTATCTGCACAGCGCGGTGGTAGCCAGCGTCTATATTGCGATCACCAGCACCCTGCATCGACCACAGTGCATGATCGCCCCCGCAAAGCATCTAACGGAGACTCAGAAGAGGTCCAAGATGAAGGTATATGACGCTGCAAGCAAGGTGGCATCCCTCTATCGGGACATCGTCGCCCGAAACATGACCGACAGTGTCCCCAATACAAGCGTGGCAGTCCTACTCCCGGCCTGTGTTGTCCTTCACGCAGATGCCCGGTCAGCCACCTCGGCAACATGTCGAGAGTCCCAGGAACGCCTTCAGGATTGCGTCAAGGTCTTGCAAAGACTACGCGAAATGTACGCCTCGGCAGATTTTGCACTATTGGTACTCTCTCAAGCGATCCAGAAATTAAATCCTGCCACCCGGGGCCCTGTGTCTCAACAAGGAACAGCTCTAGAGTCCAAACCTGGCCTAGGCAAGGTCCATTCTACGACGCAGCAGGACCCAGGCATGACGGACCCTTCTCCATCAACACAAGAGAACCAATCTCTGCCTAGCTCCAAACCAATTCATTTTCAGTCTGTGTCGACTTCAGTGACGAGGAGTACGGAATGCGTGCAATTGACAGGGCCACATTGGCGAGCCGAAGAAGCCACCCATAGAGAGAGTCAACGTCACCAAATGCACAGCCATAATCAGATTGACGGCGTGAATGATTTATGGTGGGACGATTTAGTAAATTTCTAAGCCTCTTTCAGACAGCAGAACGGCCAACGTGTTGGCAAGCCGAAGCAACCGGCAACGTGGCTGGGCGAGCGGGAAGGGGCTTGATTTCCCATATGTTCGTGTAGCTTAAGGCGTTCATGATGACGCCGATACCGACCTGGAGAACCAACATAACCCAGATTTCGACAGAGTTGCCTGCCCTTCCATAGCCAGCCCAGAAGACACGCCTCGATATCGATAAACAAACATGGCATAATACTGCCCATGCTTATGAGGAACGCGCGACGCCGCCCCAAACTGTCGAACCACTACCGGTGAAGTTGCACAGGACGCCAACCAGGATCGCAACCTGTCAGATCAGTGCCCTCGGCGATCGACTGGCACGGGAAGGCTTGCGCGCACCAGATCAACTCCCTCTTCGCTGGTGAACGGGGTCTGCGTGTAGAAACATGTGCGTTACAGGCTGGCACTGCATGGACCTAGAGTCATCAATAAAGAAATCTTGCGGAGCATGAAGCGGACCTATATGAGTCTGGACTGAGGATGGAAGAGGGCTAATGTCTCGCCCATAATACAAATGCTCGTGTACCGAAAAGCAATCCGGCCACGAAAAAAAGGTGACGAAATCTACCTCACCGACCGCGACGCAGCTTGCGCTTCCAAGATCTGAATGGACAAACCTACCTGTGCTCAACAAAAATAGGAGGACGGCGAATGATCTAAAGGGTGGATGTGGCTTGGCCAGGCTTGTCGGAGGGAAAAGGGGTGACGAAGTCGACGCCCTACGGACTCGGCACCGCTTTCCGATGTTTCCGTTCTAGGAAGTTGGCCGCGGTTACCCTCTTTCGGTTAGTACGGGAGCGGGAAAGGGGGAAGTCCCAAATAGCTGTTTGGCGATGACCAAGACAGCGCCTTGGCGCGCACGGGCCACAGTTCCCTACTTGTACCAGTACTGTACTTGTTACAGTCTCCGCTCAGTGGGTCGTGCGCCAAGATACCTGATTGGGGAGATTGCCAAGTTTCGGATACTCGCCCATCAATGAAAAGGGCCGTCCATCATAGAATAGGACCAATACTCAGTGCGGAGGGATAGAAGGCGAGAAGGTATCGTTAGAAGGAAAAGTCTCCAAGAGACAAACTGCGATGATTTTGATCTACCTCGAACTCCCATTTTGTCGAGATCCTGCTTATCCCAAGCGTATCTCATAAACCCAGGCACCGAGAACACTACATCTCATATGCAAGTTGGCAAAGGAAGTTTGGTCCGCCGCTGTCCAACCCCCTTAAGCCCCTGCTAGCAAACTTACATTTTCAATCAGTTCAAAGTCGAAAAAGTTCTCGATTCCATAAAACAGGTCCTGGCCGCCTAGTTCAAACGCCGATCCGAACGAATCTCGAGTAGTGCTTAAGGAACCCACGGGGAGCTGATGACTGGGGAGTTGATCAGGCACGACTCCTTCCATAAAGCTGGGGGTGGCACATTCGTTCGTGAATCGAGACCGGCCCGAACCCGAGGTGCCGCTCGGAGATGCGGCAGCATACTCCTGGCTTGCTGGGGTAGCAGAAGAGCCTCTGGCAGCTTGTACGGCGGATTCAACAATCCTTGTGACGTCTGTAGCCGCCTCATTCATTTGCCCGAGTTCACGTAGGATCGTCAGACAAGTGTCGAGATGCTCCAAGGCTGAATTGCGGATGAACCCTCCGGTTGACCTCGCGTCTAGTAGATGAACAAATACGGCCGTACAAACCGTGGCTATGCCAGTTGTTGGCATTGAGGGCGTCAATTGTTGCTCGTGCAACGCTTTGTGGATAGCGGTGATCTCGGACGCGGCTTGCCTGACTGACTTGGTATGCCCCTGAGCATCCAGTGCTTCGTTATCTTCGAGCCAGTCCTCTCCGTTCTGTAAGCACTTCGTCCATCCCGAAATTGACACCTCACTCTTATGCAGCATGATCAAAGCCATGAGTTGAGTCAAATGCAATATCGACATGGTCATCTGCAATGACCTATCTGCATCCTCGGACAAATTCAAGGCCGTATTGAAAGATGTCAACTCCATCGGTAGTTGAAGACGCCAATCTTTCAGTTCTGATTCAAGTTGCCAAATCCTTGCATTCCGATTGCTTTGGCAATTAACAAAATCGTCACTGGAACAAGAAAGTCGTAGGATACGGTAAATAATAATTGCAAGCTTTGCCTTCTCGATCCATGCCATCTCGAGCCGCCGTTGTATCCACGGATCTCTTCGAAGCTTTCCAGTTTCCGGGAGATGTGAATAGTTAGTGGTTTGAGACCTGTTCATGAATGCCTCGTGTTGGAGCAAGGGCGTCCGATGGGGTGATATTCGGGGTGGTCTCCCCAGAGTCAAGCAGATATCGCACTCTTTCATGATAATAGTCCACCAAATTCTCTGGCGCAATAGCTGGTCGTTCTTGGGAAGGTTGGCGTCACTTTCGGCTTTATGGATTTTCAGGGAGCACGCCTGGCTGATAGCAATACCCATCCAATAAAATGGATCTCTGGAGTGTTCGTTGCTACCCCAGCTGATAAGTAGAAGGGCAGCCTGGCATGCTACCAAGCGGTCCGTCTCAACATCCATGTCAAATAAGACCTGAACACAACATTAGGCATGGAATTCAGAATGGGGCCTGCTTTCCAGGGCGAACCTTGGCTTTGGTGTAATACTGCTTTCTCGCTGCGACTTTCGAATCGAAACCGTAATCAAGAATTGTCTGTATGTCGACAGCGGCTAAGCCAGCACACATAACCGCATGATAGAGAAGGAGAGATATCTTTTTCTGTACATCTCCAAAGACGACGTCGACAAAATCATCAAAGTCGAGGACAGGGACCAGTGGATGGATGAATTCTGCATATCTGCGGATGACGATCTTCTCCAGGTCTGCAGGCAAAAATGCAAAACAACGACGCGCCTTGAGATAATGCAAATCGTCCACATCGAGGTGGGATGGGAGAGACTTGATAAAACGGGGGAGATGCAGGTCCGAAAGAATATCGGCTCTGCCAATAGAACTATTGGAGGAAGCGTCTGGGGAAGTTTGAGGAGTGCAATCAACCCCGACAGGCACTCCGCCTGGTTGAGCTACCACGCGACCGCTTTCTGTGGACTGCATATCTTCATCTTGGAATATGTCATTGTAGACATCCATAGACGTTGCACTTGTGGTTATGTCTGGTGATGTAAGGATGATTGGCGCAGTCAAGGACATATTGACTGTATCATATGGTCTGAACTCGGTCAGCAAGGCTGCAGGGGATGTTAAGTCGAGAAAGGAGAGGGATTTTACCTGCGACGTTTACTTTTCGGCACCTCGCAGACGACGCCATCTAGTCGACAATTTGTGCATGATGCTGGTGACTTCAGGACGAAATCGCAGCGAACCTTTCGATTCCTGCACTGGGTGCACGCTTGGGAGGCTCGCTTTTTCACGGGCTTAGTTGGAATGAAACGGACAGTTGAAGAGTCCTGTGCTTTGGAAGCCTTCGTATGAGGCGACATGGAGGCGTTTGTGGCACCGCGACAGATTTGCGAGAGGTGTACAACGTGGTGCTAAGGTGGAAGTTTCAGCTGTTGGGCTGGAAGGAAGAGGCGAAATATCCTCAGTCGAAAGATCGGGAGGTCGATGCAGCAGGCGTCGAGTGATATTCGAGTACCTAGGCATTTGTCGTTGCTTTAGCAATGCCCAGAAGTAGTCGCTGAGGGTCTCGGCCTGGATGGTCTCCGCGCACATGTGTGCTAGGTACTAAGTCTGTCCATAAGGCCACCGCTTTTTGCTTCGTGGGTCGATTCCCCGTGGGTACTCCGCTCGCCCGGTAATGGAAGGCCAGCGGAATGTTCCTTTGCCGCGGTTAACTATTTCGGGACCAATAAGCATTTCGCCTCAAAACAAACACCACTCCGCTCTCGTGTTCTTGTCATTTCCCTCACCAATGTAGAGAAACGCTGCTGTTACTCCTTTCAAGCGAATTTGGTGTTTTTCATCGAGACCTCCCGAGTGCCGAACGTAGAGCAAATGGCGCACAGCTTTAAAATACGTGCTGGTCAGAAGTAGCTGAGTTGAAGCTATCATAGCCTGGTCCCTCGCGAATCTAGAACAAAAGAGTACTCCTCTAGCCATCAATGGTGAATAAGACCGGCAAAAGGCCCAAATTTGGAATCTGGTATGAACGAGAGCTTCAACAATACCCTTCGACGGGCAAAATTAGTCCCTCACATCACTAGGTAGGTGTACAGCAGAAGCATTCCCAGGCGAAACAGAATTGTCGAATGCCGCATTGATCAGGTCAACTGCATGCTAAGGCGTCCAGATCTAGCAGCTCTGAGAAACGCCATGCAATGGTATAGCACCTTCAACGCTGGACACTCTCGGGTTATCTTAATCCTTCTTCGACGATTTAAGGGTGCTGGAAAAGCGGGAGTTGGAACGGCATAACTAGGTTGGCTGATGTGTGAAAACATTCTGATACGATAGAAAGTGTCACATTGACCTTCGACGGGGACAAGGACGAGACTTTCTTCGCAGATTTCCTCTTCGTGGGTTCTCGTTGGGCCTCTCCATGGGCGCCGTTCGACCTTGTACGAAATCCTCCGGACCAGGCCTATGTATATCTCAAAGTCTCGTTCCATCTAAACATCTGGCAAAAGAGAGAAAGTCTCGTGAGGGCCCTGTGGATGGCACATGTTGGAGCCAGGAAGCTTCTTTCTCTTCAGATTTCTCGGGTAGGATGTTTGTATCAGTGGCAGCTCTATCTCAAGTTGGTACACTTCCAGATCTGCTGATACCTGGTTCCTGTCAAGTGATGGCTCGTAATTGACGATTGTGCAACTTGCGAATATATTCGTCATCCTATCAAATATCCGCTTGTTGAAGGTGGTATAGTAGGTATCAATCCTTCCGTCAATGGTCATCCACGACCACAGTGGGTTTCTTCCTCGCAGCCAAAGGAAGATGAGACAATGGCTTCGACAACATATCTCTGGATGTTTTGAGTGTACGCCGGCCTTTGCGAGGAATAGACAACCATAGCAAATTCTGGGGCGTTAACTCCTTCCACTTCCAGTGCCGAGAGACGAAGTTCATGCCCGTCCGACGCTGAACCAACGCCGCTATACATGCAAGTGCAACGTAATGATGGCATTTGAAGGTCAAATTAGCATTTGTGTAGGCGTCAACCATAAAGTTTCAGCGTTTGTCGATATCTTCTCCCACTCTGGGTCGGGAGGTAGAGCGTAGCGCAGTGGCGAATTGAATCTTTATCGAATCTGGGGAATCGCTGTCCGGCTGGGCATCTCTCGACTCGAGGTCTAACCAGAACTCTGAAGCATTCTTAGACCAACATTGCCAAAATAAGCCTTGTAGGCCAAAATAGATGATTCGTGGAGACAATAGTCTTTCTTGGACCACCCAGGCTCGTCTCAGGAGGGGAACCGCCCTAAGCCCTACCAGCGTTTTCGTGTCTTCGAATGCTTCTTTCGGAAAGCCAGTGATAGAGTCTGACGAAAGCAGATTTTCCAGTGTTACACCCAGTGCACCCTCGAGCCGAGCAAAATAGCCATGAGCGTAAACCCCCTCGAAGAGCTTACAAGGTCGTCTAGCCATCGAACATCTTTCAACAAAGCAGGAGGCATCACCGTGTGCCCCCACAGCAGCTGTCGTGCAATCTGACCGGCCGTAGACGTCGGTCATTTTGGGGGATTCAGCCAGCCAATCATCCCTAGAATCTTGAATTATGCAGAGTCAATCCAGATGAATCTGCATCCCAGGTTTCGTGTGATTTTGAATGGCTGACGTATATTCAGAGACAGGTCTTCTTCCAATATAGTATCCTGCATTTGGACAAGGCTTTCTTTCCGTAATTGCACTCTCGGAACTTCAACCCAGCAGTGACTCAATGTTAGATACCGAGGATCGAGAGAGGACCATCGGGTAGGAGGAACGGCAGACAGTATTTTGTCGGTACATCCTTCAGTATATTTGACTACTCGAATATGGAGGAGCAAAGGGCACAGAACTTGTGTAGTACGGCCAGACTGGCGGCCATGATCGCGTCGTCTAAACGGTGGAAAGCAGGGAATACGGCTGGTTCAGCGAACCAAACCAAGACAGTAGATCTGTCTCGTTAGTGATCCAGCTTCGACAAGATATATCGCCTCAGAGACAACCAGTTTAGCTGACTTGGTGCCTGGTCTGGGCGGCCAAGCTGACCAGCTAGCATAGCCCTGTGCGACGTTAGGAGTAACTAGGAAGAAGCGGGCTGACAGTCCAACGGACAATGCGTTGAGACTGTGGCAGCAGCACTTGCATAACGGCGCCCCCGTCTGGATGGCCTCGTCGACATTGGAACTCGGTTGATATATCGATGGAAGTTGGGTTCGTTTTGTCGGGGACGAGCCCAAGGCACGATCTTGGTCAGACGAGAGTAGTTGATGATTTGGAAAGGTAAATATTCTGTCAGACCGTGTCACCGATTTTTCCAGGTGGCTTGGTGGAGTCGCGATTTCGTGCTCCATCTTGCCCGCCCCGAACAGAAAGAATGACTCAATCGCACCACCACTACGGAGAAATACCTGCTCTCTCCTCTTCGCTGACTTTATCCTCAGCGCCCCCTAAAGGGTCTCGCTTCTAACGGTTTGAAGATCTCGTGACCAAGCAGTCCGCCAGCAATGGCTGAATCAAAGCCAATTGCGGCCAGTGGGAACACCTTTCTCAACCCAGAGGCCGCGTCTTTCACCATGCCCTCCGCGGGAGGAGAGACCCTTATGAATGGAACAACCCAAAATCCTCAGCCGACGACGGCGAATGGAAATGGACAGACAAAAGACGCAAAGAAATCGAAACCCCGGCCCGAGACGGCGCCTCGAACGACCACAGAACAAAATGTAGCCGAAGCAGGAGCAGGAGCCAAATTGACCGGCGCGCAATTGAAGAAACAGAAGGCGGCCGAAAAGGCAGCGAGAAGAGCAGAAAAGGTCGCTGAGAAAGGAGCCCAGGCCGTGGCACAAGCACAGGCGCAGGCCCAAGGCCAGGCCGGATTGCTAGGAGTAAGGTCAGAAGCACAAAGGCGGCCGTCGACCACGAAGAGAGAAAGCGACACAGGTATGCATCATAAACGGACACCCTCAGGCAAGGTCTTGCCGATACGAGGCGCCGCTCAGCAACAGCAACAACAGCCTCAAGGGTCGACGGTTCCCGAGAAAGAGAAGCGTCATGAACTCAAGCGTGTCCCCATGTTCTCTCACCTCTACCCCAAAGAGAAGAAAGCCACCCTATCCGGAGCTGGACGAGAAATTCACCCCGCTGTGATATCGCTAGGGTTGCAACTACGCGACTACGTCATCTGCGGCGGCAATGCGCGTTGTGTGGCCACCCTGCTTGCCTTCAAGAAGGTTATCCAGACCTACACCACTCCTCCTGGCGTGGCGCTTTCCAGACATCTACTCACCCATCTCAATCACCAAATTGCATACCTCCGCAATGCGCGACCTTTATGCATGAGTCAAGGGAACAGCATCCGATGGCTGAAGAACTTGATCTCCACCCAACCCGTCGAAGCAACTGACAGCGAAGCCAAGCAAAGTCTATGTCAGGCCATCGACTTGTTTATCCGTGAGAGGATCACGCTGGCCGACGAAGTGATTGCCCGTGAAGCCAGTTCGCGGATTCAAGACGGAGACGTGGTTTTGACATACGGGAAGAGCAGTATCGTGGAAAAAACACTCCTCTCCGCGCATCAGCAGGGCAAGGGCTTCAAAGTCATTGTCGTCGACTCGAGGCCGATGTTCGAAGGCAAGAACCACGCGCAATGCCTCATACGTGCAGGACTGAAAGTCCATTACAGTCTACTCTCTGGCCTAGCTGATGTTCTAGACAACCAATCTGCATCCGTCACAAAATGCTTTCTAGGTGCCTCGGCGATGCTAGGCAACGGGCGGCTCCTTTCTCGTGCTGGTTCGGCCATGGTTGCCATGATGGCCAAAGAATCAAACAAGAACAAAGGCCGGAACGTGCCCGTCATTGTCCTGTGCGAGACGGTCAAATTCACGGCAAAGGCCGCGCTCGATAGTATCATTATGAATGAGCTGGGCGAGCCAGATGCGCTGGTCGAGACGACTGAAATTGATATCTTATCCTCGATGAAATCGCCTCCTGAGACCAATACGGCGGCGAAAAGCACAAACAAGAAGCCGAATCAGCAGAAGGACAAAAAGGATGAAGACGACGTGGACGAAAGGAACAGTTCTTCGAATACTAATGGTTTGGAGGATTGGAGAGATCAGCCGAACCTATTTCTATTGAATCTCATGTACGATGTAACGCCGGCGGAGTTTCTGGACCTGGTGGTATGCGAATTGGGCAGTTTGCCGCCTCGAGCGGTCCCAGTGGTCAACGGTGTGCATGGAGATGATCAAGCTTTAGCTTGATGGCCTGCGGAGGAATGGCTCTTTTTTTTTCCTTCTTGTTCTCGGGGCTGTCTGTCTATGTCTTTCTGGGTTCAATGGAAAGATTGTTCAGGATGCTAGACGTGTGTGTCTTCAAAAAGCAGACCACCCTATCCAAGCAGTGAAAGAACGGATGAGCCTGATGCCTTTAGCGGGCGACCGGAGAGACGGCTGCAGTATGGGCGGAGTAGAACATCCCAAATCAAATTTAACCTGGCTCCAGCCCGCCCTCAATCCCTGATTGAAGAAAGGCAGTGACAAGCAAGAACTGGATGTGGCATGAATGGCCAAGAAGGTTGACAGAAAGGATTTTCCATTGCCAGATAGATCAGATCAATTCAGACACATGTTATGTCTGTCTGGCTGTATCCGACCGAGTCTGTTTCCGTTCACCGTCTAGCACGAACGTATGTAGCATGCCCTCTTCTTTTTTTCTTTTTTTTAATGTCTTTCCGCTAAATGCCCGCAAAGGGAAGCGGCGACGACAATCATGACTCCCATTGATGATAAAAGGTCATAAAAACCCCTTTCCCCTCCCATTGGCAAACCATCTGGAGTTCTCTCCGTCACGCTGGCCGTCTGATAGCATGTGATACACACTCACTCCCCCACTCCCTCAGCAAACAACTCCCGCCCGTCGCAACCCCCACATACTCTCCAGCATCCTTCCAAATCCGTGCATCGTGCTTTCCTCTTCGGCGAGGACCGCTCGTAATCACTTCCGTCATCAAAGCGTCCGCACAATTGATTCCTCGCGGGCCCCATTAATTCGCAATTTTCCGTGTAGGATTTATCGGTGCTATTCCAGAGGGAGTGCGCATATTAGCCGGGGCATTTTCTTTTCCATCTTTAAGGTACAAATTGCACATCGGGGTCCTCTGTTCACAGACAGAGAGAGGTTTCGTGCACATACCTTGATGAAACCGATATCCTGGCTCTTCTCCCGGAAGCATTGACGGCAAATGTTCAGGCCATATTTGCGGATCAGACCAGCTTTGTGGGTGCAGACGCGGCTGTCGAAGCACAGACGGGTTAGCAGGTGTGTGTCTCTGAGTTATCAAACAACATTATAACTCGGTTCAAAACATGTGACGCTGGGATGTCGATCGCATTGAGCTTTTGATACTTCGCTTCGCGCATTCGATATTGATTATCCGACAATGCAAGAAGGATCGAGTTTGATCCCCGATAATCGATAGAGTCTCTTCCATCATATTCCAACAGACCACCTCTTGAAAATGGCACAAATCTTCCCTTCGGGGTTAAAGGGCGGATGAAAACACGTACCAGGCGCGAGAACCCTTGCCGAAGCTTCGGGGCCGGGAGTACCAAACGCTCTCGTGAGACATGATTGCAGTTTTGTGTCTAGCTCTCTTGCGAGGAGGATCGGAAAAGATAGCGTTCTGTCGGGGGCTTCTAGACGTGGAAAATATGTCAGAACTGCCGTCGCAGGCACGTGTGCAAATCTGATGGGAAGACCTTGGATCTTGTTGATGGTGCGCTGACGGTAGTGGCGAGAGCGTATTCAAGGGAAGGAAGACTCACTGTCCAAGCTGGCGACAACTGATCGTTTGGCGTGTTGGAAGGAGCCCGCAATGTTGGAGTTCTGAAAGTTCATCGGATTTCAGAATGTGGGTTCTGCAATGCCAAGGAAAATTGAGTCACGTGGTTTATCCATCAATATCGGACGCTCATTGGTCTGACGGACGAGACCGCCGCTCTCAAGAAGCTCTGCCCAATACGGAGTACTGAGTACATATTGTGCCACACGCCCTTATCCTACTCGCTTCGAATTTGGAACTTGCATTAGCGGTGCCAGTCCATAACCTGCAAGCACCTTCTTCTCAAGCGGTGGTGTCCCTCCGCATAATGGCCCGGCATTGCTTAGTGCACGTCTGATGCGCCCTAGAGATTGAAAGCTCCTACTCCAACTCTCTAAACACAGCCACTCGTATCCTAAGCTACATCCGCGGTAAGTCTTGATCTCGGAGAGCAAGAAAAATACGGCTTGTGAATTCAATTCATCACCGAGATTATTATGCCTGGCCTCAGAGTTGCCTTCACAGGAGGCTCGGGCAAAGTAGGCCGGCATGTGATCAAAGAACTCCTCCACTACGGCCACCAGGTCATCAACCTCGACCTCGTCGACCTTGCATCCTCCTCCGCAGACATGCCTGAGCTGAAAGACGTTCATACCATGAAATGCGACCTCACCGAGAGCGGCCAGGTCTTCAGCAGCCTCAACAC